TGACCTGACCTGGACCTGACCTGACCTGACCTGACCTGGACCTGACCTGACCTGGACCTGGACCTGGACCTGGACCTGTACCTGTACCTGTACCTGCACCTGCACCTTGACCTTGACCTGGACCTGGACCTGGACCTGGACCTGGACCAGGACCTGGACCTGGACCAGGACCTGGACCTGGACCTGGACCTGGACCTGGACCAGGACCTGACCTGACCTGACCTGACCTGACCTGAACTGAACTGACCTGACCTGGACCTGGACCTGACCTGACCTGACCTGACCTGGACCTGGCCTGGACAGGGACCTGGACCTGACCTGTACCAGCACCTGACCTGGACCTGACCTGACCTGGACCTGACCTGACCTGACCTGGACCTGACCTGACCTGACCTGACCTGACCTGACCTGACCTGAACCTGGACCTGACCTGACCTGACCTGACCTGACCTGGACCTGACCTGACCTGACCTGACCTGACCTGACCTGACCTGACCTGGACCTGACCTGACCTGACCTAGACCTGACCTGACCTGACCTGAACCTGGACATGGACCTGACATGGACCTGACCTGGACCTGGACCTGAACTGGGCCTGACCTGACCTGACCTGACCTGACCTGACCTGACCTGGACCTGACCTGACCTGACCTGACCTGGACCTGGACCTGGACCTGGACCTGGACCTGGACCTGGACCTGGACCTGGACCTGGACCTGGACCTGGACCTGGACCTGGACTTTGACTTTGACTTTGACCAACACTTACGACCCGAAGAACCCTTACGACACTGGGCGTTCCGTGGGCCGCTGACATGAATGAGTAGGCAATTGCAGGCTAAACCACCTGATCAGCATATAGAACCTTGCGGCGGAACCTTCCACTACTGCGACGAATGAGAGCTTACGAAGCGTCGCGAGTGCTCCTGTGCGCTAGCTACATACAGCGGCGTAGAGTAGAGGTAAAAGTCGTAGCAGGTGCGTAGGCGGCTTCGTAGCCGCGTGTCGCCTTAAACGCAGTTTTCCTGGATTTATGTCCATGCAAATAACGAATTCGCAGATTTCCGGGAAATGTGCGAATAAATCGATACATTTCGCAGTTATCCGGCTCTTCGCGAAGGGCCTAGGGATTTCGCGAATAACCGGATTTCGCTACATTCCTGCGACATATATTTTGCCAAAAACAATTTGTCTTCGGAGCGTTTTCCAATACATCCACTGAAGTTTATTAGTGGTCGGTTAACATGACTGATTGTGAGTGTGATGGAGCGGTTTCTGACGTGCCTTTGGGATCGCAGTTTATCGTCATTTATTAGGTATTTCACGTCTACTCGAAGAAGAAGTAGAAGAAGTATATTAGGATTTTAATGTACTCACAGTACTATCACAAAATAGACTCGGCCCTATTCTGGAATTTCGCGCTTGGCACTTTGCTTTTGTCATAAATCTCAAAGTTCAAAAATATCAAAACAACAAAATCTGACAAAGACCGTCATGATTCCGAGCAAATTGAATCCATGAAATATGACGATCGTGTCAACCACCTTCTTAGTTACCTTGACTTCCCCTGAGATTCCGGTCGTCGCTAGTACTGAGTGAGCCATCTGTATAGGCGCTCCGCGCGCCGTTTCCCGAATTTGTGGCACTATGTTATAATGATAAATGAAAATAAGAAATTGAAAAAATGTTATGCATCGACCGGGGCTTGAACCGCTCTGCCACTGAGCTATCGATGCACCGATAGATGCTTGCCAAACAATCGCTTGATGCTCGTCTCCAAGCGACATCTGTAGAAAGTGTTTACAATTTATTACGTAGAAATTCAAACCGTATCATGAAGTTATTGCTTCTTCTTACCTACGATACTCACGGGTACAAAATAGGATGAGGAATCAACCGCAGTTTACCTTAACAGCCACAACAGTCCACTGCTGGACATGAACCTCCCCCTATCGGGGGTATTGCCATACTCACCACGCTTGGCAGGCGGATTGGCGAGCGCAGTGCAAGATGTTAGATAAATTACGCTGCTGCCTATTAACTGGAAAATTATCCCTTAGTCGCTTCTTACGACAACCTCGAGTAGAATTGGGGTGATGCTATTCTATGCCGGCATCACACGGCAACCGCAGTTTACAAAGGATAAAATCTAATTAGGACTCTGAAACAGCCTTAATGGCCAATAAAATTGAACTTGAGACCTAGTTCATGTGACCTTAATAAGAAAATCGATGAAAGGTTTGAATTTTGAAGGTTTCTCTTCATGAAACAAGAATTCTGAATTGTTGAAAAGTCTTATTAATACTTAAGGAAGATTAAGTAATTCCAAAACAAACTATTAGAACTAGAAAATTGATGAATTTCGTATGAACCCTACTTCGTAATTAATATTACCTAATTAGTAACAATGTTTTGTGTAGTCTGGAGAAAATATACTAGGAGAGTCAATCTAATACAAAAAAAACGTAATTCAAACATTTCTGATAAAAAAGGTTTCCACTTTTTATTAACAGCGCTACCTGGATTGTATCAGAAATGTATGAATTACGTTTTTAATTCAAGATTAACTCTCTTCTATACTATATTTCTTCCATGGTGTAGTACAATTACCTCCATTTCTATGCTCCAGGAATGGGGATCAGGGACTTCCAAGTCCTGAGATTTCAGACTGCTAGGCCTCAGCTTCATTACGTGAGACATGAGGAGATCTAAGACATGAGACTTGCGACATCGCATCGTTTGAAAAGTTTTCCATATAAAACGTATGAAAGAAACGGCTGATGATCACTTGTCTGAGAGATGTCATGTTGCGCGTCGCGTCGCGCGTCTATACTGTGGAGATTGCCTCTTAGCAATGCACATTATAAAGCATATAAAGGTCCTGACACAAATTAGGGAAACGGCGCGCGGGGTGCCTATACAGATGTCTCAGGGGAAGTCAAGGTAACTAAGAAGTTGGTTGCCACGAACGTCATATTTCTTGTATAAATATTTGCTCAGAATCATATGACGTTTTTGTATCAGATTTTACTGTTTTAATATTCTTAAACTTTGAGATTGTTGACAGTAGCAACCTTGCAAATGACGATCGCAAAAATCCTTCTATAAACTCTCTATTTTGTGGTCCTGATGAGAACTCTAACATGACACTAAATAAAGGTGACAATTCATGTTGTCATATTCTATCTTCAACACACATTATTGACATTTTATTGATTCTGCCCCAATTCTGCCCCGTTTCCCCGAAGTAGGGTAACCATGGTTTCATGTCTGTGTAATGATATGTCTTTAATTTTAGTGACAAGGCATTTTTCCTGGAACAGCCTTCGGATCCTCTGTCTTCGGGTTATTGATTTGACATGAAACGTCTTGTTTTAAAAATAAATAGACAATTTTAGAGTTGAATAACTTTCAATCCATCATTTTCTAGTACAATTACAGATTTAGCTCATTTTAACAGCATAAAATTAGATTTCTAGATCCTCCACACCTACTTAGTGTTTATGATAATTTGAATACCCAAACAAATTATAACAGGTGGTCAAAAACGCATGCTAAGCGACACCTACATAATTACTTCTGAAGTGTATCTATATGCTAATAAAACCATTCAAATCGAATATTAATAGATCTTTTTGACGAATGGTCGATAATTTTTTATTATAATTATACGGAAATTATTATAATTTGATAGTTAGTATTTAGCAGTGATCGATTTTGTGTGTATCTGTCTGATTTCATCCATAATAACTATAATTTTTGAGCTAAGTGGCTTGTTAAGATGTGAAGTAGATATATGAGTGGATAAGTCTTGCGTTGCGGTAATAAAAATTTATGACTCTGATAAAATCAGTGCCATTATATGCTGCCTTAGAGTAGCATCATCATATTTTTTCTTGTTGGAGGCGACATTTAGGCAAACAAACTGTCAATAAATTGATGTACAGTTCGGATATGGTCTTGTATTTCACGAAGTTTTCCTTTAATGATTATCATCAACAGTATTTAATAACTTGTAATTTTTCACAAAATTGTATAGCAATGTTATCAATTATGAAATTCTCTGAAGTATTTTCACTATAAATTCAATTTACCTATTTGTTCTCTTAACAAAGCGAATGCTGAGAGTCGCTCCAATTATTTAAAGATTTCTCCGACGCCAACTGTAAATTTAATTAATCAAGTAAAAGGATTTTTAAAGCGTAGTAAAACAATTTACCTACATTCTACAGGTTTTCTGGTAAAGGAGCTTATGAGATTTACACCCTAGGTAGGCACTATACATACCTGCTTACAATATCTACGTACATCATACGTATTCATACATTTCATCCACTGAACTTTAACATCAAAGATTTTCCACACAATTTATTGAATATTCAGAAACTATTGCAGAAAATATTGTTCAAAACGCTTCTGTTGTATATTTATAAGTTTAAAATAATATCAAATGAAAACGAATTCGGTTCATCGTTATCATCACATCAGCCTATACAGGGTGTTAGTGACGGTGTACCGAAAACTTTGCAGGCATGTTCAGACCATCAAACTGAACAACTTTTACTATGGAGCCAATGGTGGGAAACGAAAAAAAATTTTCGACCTCCCATACAAAATTCACAATCAGCTGAATGACTTTGTATGGGAGGTCGGAATTTTTTTTTCGTTTCCCACCATTGGCTCCATAGTAAAAGTTGTTCAGTTTCATGGTCTGAGCACGCCTGCAAAGTTTTCGTTACACCGTCCCTAACACCCCGTATAGCAGCCCACTGCTGGACGTCGGACCTGCCTCCCGTACATAATATGACATTTTATTTTGAAAACAGCAAGACTGAATTTATTGGAATTTTTAATGCACTCACAGCGCAATATTATTCTCATAAATTAAAAATGAGAAAATTGAAAAATTTACTAGCGACCGCCGGGACTTGAACTCAGGACTGTGGATTGTCGCTTCAAGACGAGCATCAAGAGGTTGAAAGATTCACCAGGGTCCGCTGGGCGCCCGTAGCTCAGTTGGTTGAGCGGTGGAACGGCAATCCACAGTCCCGGGTTCAAGTCCCGGCGGACGCTAGTGAATTTTCAATTTTCTCATTTTCAATTGACTGAAAGAATTTTTAAACAGGAGACATTTTAGAATCTTTAGTCTAAAACAAAAAGAGGATTTCGTAAACCCTCTACGCCGTAGCAAAAGTCTACAACAGAAACTGTTAATTAATCTTCTTTTAAAGTACACTACGTAGTTCTTTTACTGCTTTAACTCTTTAGCTGCCACGTCTACGGAGGAGGAAAATGTGTTAATTAACTATACAGGGTGTCTGGAATCATGTGCAGGAAGTTTTACAACTTTTTGAAAATAGATAATACACGTACAAATAATTATTATCGCGATATCTCATATTTTTTTTATTAACACGATTCAATTTGTTGTTTTAAGTCGAAGCTTATAGGGTCTCTTATATGCCGTGCTTATGCCGTGTGATGCCGGCCTAGAATAGCATCACCCCAATTCTACCCGTCGGTGTCGTAAAAAGCGACTAAGGGATAATTATCCAGGGAATGGGCAGCAGCGTTCCCTGTGAATTAAACATCTTGCACTGCACTCGCCAATCCGCCTGCCAAGCGTGGTGAGTAGGTATAGCAATATCCCCCAATACAGGGGAGGCCCATGTCGTCCAGCAGTGGACTGTTGTGGCTGTTAAGGTTAAGGTATAGAGTCTCGAGGTTTCGATGCAATAAGTGCACCATCATCAGGAGGCCGACAGGTCGCTCGCGCTCGGTAGTAGCACCCGCCGGGAACTGACGTGTCGGACTCCCGAAGATGATGCACTTATTGCAATAACACAATAAAACAACAAGGTCAGTCGTGTTAATACATAAAATATGAGACTGAACATGTCAACGTGTCTTCTGAAACACGAAAAAACGAATGATCTCATTAACTCCAAGTCCAATCAAGGTAGTGCTTGAAGTAAATTAGTCAATTAGTCGAGTAATAGTCAATTCCCGGAGCAAATACAGAGCCCGACGTTAATTTATCCGGAGTCAACCTGCTGTTAACCAAACAACCAGAGTTGGCAATTATAAAAGAGACACACTGTATCAGAAGATGGCGAGAAAACATCTTGTAAGTCCACTGATGGACGCAGGCCAACTGAGCTACTTCTTGATGCTCATCTCAAAGACGACCATTTCAGCGACCCTGGATAAAACTTTTATGTTATACTGTACTACCAATTGATAATACTTTATGTCTTTATTTGGTAAATACTACCTCTACTTTAGTAGATTGGCACTTTTCCAAAATACCCTGAACTACCTATAGTGTTTTGTACAAAAACAAATGTCAAACAAAGTCAGCAACAAGCAAATACTCCAGTCGCTGTTGTTGAGCTTCCCGCAGACGCAAACTATTAACAAAACACTTTTGGAGTTAGAACATTTTAGAAATTAGGAGGAGACACATTGTCATGAAGGATGGCAAACTTTTATTTAAATCGCCTATTCAAGGCTAATCTAAGTATCTAATTTAATCATTTGTAGTACGTCACATTCGGAATGCCTTATGTATTTTTAAAACGAACTTACGGTACGCTCACTGAAATAGGCTATATTTGACAGGTGACAAAATCATGCTAATGCTAATATAAGGTCTATTTTTCTTTGTTGAGATATCTTCTTGTATGGGCTTGACAGCTGGCAAATACGGCCTATTCCAATGGCCGCATAGTAACGTACAACTGTTTATCACACATGAAGAGTGCATATGCGAAGTGAACAGTATACAACTTTGTCTACTATGTCATTTATTGAAAAAATATACATAAAAGTGAAAAGTTCGTCACGGGTATCACACTAGGGTACAGAAGATCAAAAACACAGGCTTAATAATTTTTTCATCCCCTCTATTCAAAAAACTACGCTTTGGTCGCACATAAGTGGGATTAAAGTAGGTCATTTAATCCCAAGGGATTAAAATTCATTTGAATTTGGAACACAAATATTTGCAGCCAATCAATCGAAAATTTACTCTTGATGGGTATTTTCTCTGCAACACTTCCTGTTATCTGCTATTTTATTGAGTATTTTACACCTAGTATGTAGCTCATAAAAGACCTAATTCCTAGCAAAATTTGAAATTAAAAAGTAATGTGTCAAATTTTAGTTTTCTTTTGGCGCGATAACTGGCCGGCAATGGGCAACAACAATATTCAACCTCACAATTTATATTGCAATAATATGAAATGAAATGAGTGATAATGTTTTTGTAAATATTGGATGTTTATAACGCAATTTATAAGATGTATTGTAAAATAATGGACAATAGCAAGCAATATTTAAAGAACTTCGTAGCTTTATGTAAGTATTTATTGTTTTTCTCATAGAGGGGGATGAAAAGTAGTATGTATCACTCGGGTATAAAGTTATTTATTCTCGGGCGACTTACATTGAATCCCTCGCTTCACTCACGATTCTACTTTAAAATCCCTCGCTACGCTCGGGATTTTACTCTAGAATCCCTCGTTCCGCTCATGATTCAAACTAGCGCCCTCGCCCTAAATATATCACTTTATTCCCTTGTTATAAAAACTACTATATTGGTCTACCTATTGTGTTTCTAGGCGTAAAAGAAAATCACTCAACCTGCTTGGAAAATAAAATAGTACAAATAAACACTGTATGCAAAATAAGAGTTTGTATTGTTAAAATCTTTTTTACTGTGACTTGAAATGAATAAATGAATACGGAATACTGAATACCGAGGCGCCGATATTTATATTAACATAGATTGATAATGATAATTTTGAGATTGATGCTCTTGTCGAAATACCTATCTTGTGTTTTATTAATCATCTTTTATATGGACAACAGGTCTCTGTAGGTCACACTTGCCTTTATAGGCCAATTTATATAACGTTAAGAACTAAGCATCAGCTCACTCATTTCCGGCAGAACCGGCCGGATTTGTGACAACTCTGTACTTACATAAAAACTTTTTGCCAAAAAATATCACCGCCGAAAACTGAAAAGCATAAAATAATAAGTATTGTTAGTATAGGTACCTACCTAAGATATATTTTTGGAAATATTACCTACAATATTGGAATTCAGTAATTCTGAGTCGGCGCCGATAAATACAAATTAATTAACACACTTCATTGGCATGACGCCGACTCAAAATTACTAAGTTCCAATATTGTAGGTAATATTTCCAAAAATATATCTTAGGTAGGTACCTATACTAACAATACTTATTATTTTATGCTTTTCAGTTTTCGGCGGTGATATTTTTTGGCAAAAAGTTTTTATTTTATCATTTTTAGTGGCTACTTTTCAAGTTCAAAAATAGCAAACTGCCCGACGCCCCGACCTACCTTACTGTTTCTAAAGAGTTTCAAGCGCACTAAGAAACTACATGAAATACTTACAGATACCATTACCTATAAAAGTAACCTCCTTTTTGGTGGACATTTTGACAGATGTTTGGCAGAGAGTCAACGAGCAGACCTCAGTCGTGTAGGTAAACACAAGTACATTATGCTTCAAATGTGTCGCACAATATGACGAGTTTATTGAATTCTCATAGATCCTTCTATCAGATCCTGCCCTGACGACTATGGGACCACCTGGACAGTGCACCCTTTCAAACAAAAAAAGATTTTTTCAAATTGGTCCAACCGTCTCTGAGTAATCGGGGAACATACATAAAAAAAAAAAAGTTCGGGATGAATTGAGAACCTCCTCCGTTTTATTTTCGTCGGTTAAAAATTATGTTTGCCGAACTCAATGTCTGTGTGTCTCAAATACAACCGCTACTGCCGAACTTTTTCATCTCGATAACTGGTGTTTATAACTCGGGTTTAGTGTCAAACACCACAGTCAACTGTTGGCCAACTTTAGCCAACTGTAGGCAACTTTTAGCCAAATGTAGGCAACTTTATAGTCCGAGAGAAATACACTTTTTATTTTATAACTTGCGATGTTTATTAAGAGCAGTTTACATTAGAAACTTTGGACATTTCTGCAAAAAGACGATTTAGTGCTGTAGAGTGAAAAGAAGAAAGTTTTGGGTGTATGTTGAGGCGTTTCCTAAAGTTATAATATCATTGAAAAAATTTACTGTAATACTAATTAATTATCAGTAAATTCCATTAGTAAATTAGGGTTATTTTCCATGGAAGCGTTTCCTGTGAATGAATATCACCAATCCGCCTGCCAAGCTTAGTGATTATGGAAAACCATAGACTTATACAGGGAGTAACAGAAAGGGTATAACAAGCCGAAAGGAGGTCAAGATACTCATGAAACTGAACAACTTTCCACACGGAACATGGGTCGAAATATGAAAAAAGAAATTTGGACCTCCCCATACAAAATCGCCGATCAGCTTGTTGATTTACTACGGGAGGAACAAATTTCTTTTCATATTTCGACCCATGTTTCATGGGGAAAGTTGTTCAGTTTCATGAGTACCTTGACCTCCTTTCGGCTTGTTATACTCTTTCCGTCACTCCCGCTATATATAAACTACTACCCGAGAAGCGATGTCCCATGTCCAGCAGTGGGCTGTTGTGGCTGTTAAGGCAAAGGTAAAACTTGTGAGTTCTAACCTCTGCCAATGCATTACATAATCAGGCCCATATCCCTTGCGGGGTCGGCAGAGCGTAAACGACTGTAAAAACAGCCATTTACACCACGTCTGACAAAAGTTTGACAGTCATTCAGAAGACTGTGTATCACCATGGTGACAGATTGTCAGCCTTCTGCCTAAAATTGCAATACATACCAACTCACCCACGGGAAAGATATGGGGTAATGCTATTCAAGTCGGTCGAATTTACTGAAAAGTGCACTTTGTAATAAACTTTTTCCCATAAATAAACGTCAAATCAAAACCATCAGCATTAAACACTATTACTAGTAAAAACCCTTTTATTAAAATAGTCAATTACCCTCATGCAGCCTAAAATAACAATATAATTATTATACATAGTTTAAAAATAGAGCTAGGGTTGCCAGCTCTCCGATTACACGGGGTATAAGGGCTTGAAGCTTGAAGGCAAATGCTCAGA